AAAAATAATCATAAAAGGGAAAATAATTTGAGGGATTTTTGCTATTATATGAATATTTTTAAATATTTTATGTTTTTCGATTATTTTTGAAATTAATGATTTTTATGTTACAACTGTAACAATAATATCTTTTCTTTTATTAAGTTTCTAAATTAATGATAATTAACTTCACAGAATGATGATGAGAGGTTAATTATATCAAAATAAAAGATGTTACTTATTACAGACGAGAGATCTTTTAAAATAAAAGAATACAAATAAGAAAGTAAAAAGATAAATAATGCTTGACTGAAAATCTCTAACTCAAGACTTATAATACAACTAACTTCTAAGAAGATTTTGTCAAGAGGAAATTATAATCAAAAGATTATTTACTTGTAAGAAGACTAAGATATGATAAAATGATTAATAATATTATTAAACTAAGATATATGTTATATTTATATAAATTATTCGTTACTCAATCTACATTATTTCATTCTATTAAACTGGTAATATAATTATTGATCCAAGTATTGATCTAAGTATTAATCTCAATATTAAGTATTAATCCAAATATCAAAATCAAATAAGAACAGGTAATTAAAATGTACTACATTAAAAGGGTATTGATACGAGTATTAAATTAAGTATTAATTCTGATATTTGGAATGTATTATATTAAAGTATTGATATGAGTATTAAATAATTAAAATATGAAACTTAATATTTCTAAAAATAATAAACCAATAAAATTAAAAAAATAGAAGATAAATCATATGATAAATATAACCAATAAGATGATAGAATGAAATAATTAATAAAAATTATGATATATAAAGTCATATCATAATAGAACTCCCAGAGTTAAGAATTTTATTCCATAAAATTAAGAATTAAATAAATAAAATAAAAATATAATTAAAATTTTTGAGCGGTGAAACTCAAAAGTTTTTGAATTCTACTAGTTAAATTGTCATTGTTTTTATAACTTAATTTACCAATTACTGATGAAGTAAAGTAATTATCCAATCTACTATATTCTAAAATTTCAGGATATTTTGAAAAATATTGATAGATTCTTAGTGCGGCCATGACTTTGAATTGCACATTGTGTGGATTTATTTTCTTAATCAACTTTTTGGCTTCTCCACTTGTTCTTACACGGCTCATCCAAAGGTGAGATCATGAATGATTCGACCCATTTTATAGAATATGACAATAGATAAATATAATTGCATATCCAATATATTGTTATATAACAATAATGAATATTCAGCTGATGGAGATACTGGTGATCTGGCTTTTACTTCTCCATTTATGGCTGCTTGTAATATTCCTTTAGTAATTTTCTTTTCTAACTCAGTTAATTCGATTGATGGTTCTTGTACAACAAGAGATTGTACATCTGGTATTTGAATATTGATTGTATTGGTATTGGATAATACAAATTGATATCCATTTGGATCAATAATTAATTGTTCTTCAATATTATATATCTTTATTTGATGATGTAATGTTTGAGTTAATAGAATAATTTGAGAAGGAATATGTAAAGGAATAATAGAGGTCATTTTGATAAATTTGTGTAGTAGAAATTGTATTATGTGTATATAAAAGAAATATTATTTTTGTTATTAATGTTGTTATTACTATTTTCTTTTTTTTTAGAAGTGAAGGGGTTATTTATAAGAAAATTTTTAAAGATTTTATATTAACTAAATTAATTAATAAAAGATATATAATAAATTGGAGTCAGTGTATTTTAAAGGGAGACTAAATCTATTTGGGTTCATTGAGTTTTTAGATCCATAATTTGATCTAATAAATATGTCTAATTTCCAAGCTGTAGTATGTAATTCAACTGTTTGTGTGATATTACTCATGATCCACAAATTTGATTGGTTATAGATTTTTGTGTGTGAATATAATTTATTGTGTGATAGTATGACAGTATTAATTGAATTATTAATTGGAGTATTGTTGAGGATGTTTTTCTTGTTTTCAGAATGCTGAAAACTAGAAATCGAAATACTGATAGATTGTGTACTTGTATTATTATTATTTTTATTTGTGTTTTTCATAGGAACTGTTGTTTTAGTACTAAAACACACGGAGAAACTGTTATTTTTGTTGTTTTTCACGATTTCATTTGGTTTAATGAGGATGTGTGTGTTTTTGTATAATATTGAGATTTTCTAGTATTCAGTGAGGTGTGTACTCCATTCTTCGAGTATATTAGGTGAGTTTCTCATTTTTATTTCTGTTTTCTTTTTTAGTTTTTTACCATTTCGGGTGTTTGTTTTTCTTTGGGACAAAGCAATGGTAATGGTAGTCAGTGATGGTAAATGTATATATATTCGTGTCCAATTTTCATTATCTGGAGGAGAGATGTCGAATGCTGATTTTATAGTACTAACTATCTGTTCATATTGCTTGTATTCCTATTTCATTATTGTTACTGTTGCTATCGCTATCATCTGTTGTTATCGTCCATGGGATACTGGTCGTATTCCATTCATCGTCTTCTTCAGTTTCCTAATGATTGCTGTCATTGGAGTTAGATAAGTTATTCCATTCATTTGTATTTTTATTTGTCTTTCTTTTTATGTTAAATTTATTAATCTGTTCATTTTATAGTCAGTTTTTCTTTTCAGATAGGTTCCTAGTTGACCATATTGGTTAACTAGGCCTATCAATCCAAGATTGGACATTTCTTGTTATTGTGTCTAATCTCGTGGATTTTCTCCTCTTTAGTTCATCGATTTTCTGGTCTCGGTGGTTTCTGGCTGGTGATTACCATCAGCTGGTATCATCATTTTTCATTCTACTTGGGAGTGGATGGATGGTGTACTTCTCGTGAGAGAGCATCTATTTTTCTCTCTTTATTTCAGAATTTCTGAAGGTTTCTTTCAGATCCTCTGATGTTTCTGATTATATAATATCAACTATGTCATCATCAGTATTTGTATTCCTGATTTTTTTTATTTTTATCTTACTTATTTTCGAATTTTCAAAATTTTCATCTTGACGTGATTCTGAAGGTGATTAGTGGATCGGGATTACAGTTTTCCAGTCTGAATCTGTCATTTTTTTTGATTGAATTCTTCTTTTTTCTTCTTCTAATTCAGCCATAATAATGGTGATGATTGATCCATCATTACTTTGAATATCCTCTGTTTGTTCTGGATAAACATTTATGTATTTTCAAATATCATTATTATTGATGAAATCTTCATCTTCTTCATTCAAATTGATGATGACTTTTTC